GGTATGCTGAAAAATTTGAAAAAATTTCATTTTGGGTTGATCTGAAACTAATCCTTTTCCTAATATTTCAGGAGTGCCTGCGAACTGAGAAACCGGTCAGCTGCAGAGCTCTACCTTTGAGTTAGCCTAGCTCCAGTGAGAATGCCCATGCTGCAAAAATAACACTCATGTTGCCATGTCCACAATGGCTCTGTTCGCGCCTGAATGTGGTGCTAGCACTTCTCGGGATACAATCCTACAGCTCTCCAGTGAGCGGAGCCACTCTAGGAATTCTTTCCCAGTGAATTGTTGGAGAACTTGTCTGTCCTTTTGGGGCACACTGGGGAATTGTGGGAAGGCATTGGAGGACTAGTGGCACTGAAGTTGTGCTAGCCTGCATCTACGCTACAGAGCAGCTGTGTTAGCAGCTGATGAGTTGTGCTCACTCAAGTTGTACTGTCTGATGGGACAACAACGTGAGCTACAAGCAACATTGCATTTGAATTAAAGGCTTTTTTGTGCAGACAGGACTCAAGTTAGGGCAGCATTTGAGTTATAAGTTCAGCTGACTTTGCAGTGAAGGCAAACTCCAAAAAGACAAAGCTGCTCCTTGGTGACAGGGCTTTAGCGTATGTCTACACTGAAAAATAAAGGATGTGTTAAACTGGGTTACCTAACTCAGATTAAAATAGCAGTGAAGACACATCAACTCGGCTTTTAACTTGGGAGGCAGCTCAAATTAAAGCCTATAGAGGAGCCGGGGGTGGAATTTGAGCTGCTAACCCTGAGTTAAAACCCAAGTTGCTGTGTCTTTACTGCTATTTTAATCCAAGTTAGCTAATGTGAGTTAAAAGACACACCTCTTTTTGCAGTGTAGACATACCCTTAGCTGGTGTTTCTGCAAGGGTTGCCTGTGAACCATGTGCAACCTCTTCTGTTCAAGAAACAGGACTGGAAGAGCATGTCTTTGCTTTGTGGGTGCCCCTTTGTCTCTGGCCCCAGTGTTGCATGGGGTCCTCCTCTCTGGTGCCCCTACTGGGCTTTCCCACAGATGTGCAATGGCCTTTCTCAGCCTGCGTCTTCTCCCTACTCACCCTCAGAGTGTTCTCCTCCAGCGGAGTCACGCAGTGGTTCACTCCGCTTCTGCGGTACTCAGTGTCCCAGTTGACGTACACAAAAGGTCCTTCAACCCTCCTGGGCTTTTCTCAGTTCTCCTCACTCTTGTCAAGGCACTGATTTCCCAGGCTTTTTCCCCAATGGGAGTCCAAAATTCCACATGAACTGGTTTCCCACCCCTCCTGGGTCTCTCTTCTTTTCCCTGATGTAGGGCCTTGCTCAGGGCTACCCCTCAGGAGCCGATTCTGCTCCAGGTGTGTCTCTCCACTTGACTTCCTCAGGCTCTTCCCAGAGAGGAACCTGCTTTGTTCCTTTCTCCACGATCTTCCTCCTCTGCTGAGTCCCCAGCCCTAGTTAAGTAGTGCTCTGCCTGCTTCGCCACCACAACTGGGCTCGGTTTCTAATTACGCCCCATTACATCCAACTGAGGTCACTAATTAGCTAGTATGTTGCCAGCTCATCAGAGAGGCTGAAGAATAGCTGCTAAGTCCTGGGCACGGGCATTTGTACCTTCTGTGAATAAACAAACCATACCAAGAAAATCACCTGATTAGGCACTGCCCCTTTCTACTCTGAGGGGAAACTAGCCCTCAGCTTTGCTAGCACGGTGCTTCATTTTTGTATGATTTGGCTTAAGGCCTGTCTCCTTTACTGGAAAGTCTCTGCTTCAGAAGCCTCAACAGCGTAACAAACGTTGCCTGTGTCGTCACCGACCTTTAGCCTTCCTTTCCTGTGTGATCTCTTTGGTCTGCTGCTCGCAAAAGGTGTCAATTGTGCTCCCACGACAGAGACGGCTTAGGAAGGGCTCCTCATGCCACAGTCTCCTGTTAAACAGAACCAATGTGGGGTGTTAGAGGGTTTTCCCTTCACCCTCTCCCCTGGTTCTTGTCACACAGACAGAAAGCAGAAGACCAGAAGTCCGAAGCACAGACAATGCGATGTTTATTGGGGTAAGTTTCCAAACAGGCATATTCCGAAGTCCTTCACACCAGTTGGGCGTATCTGTACGTGATAGAGTCTGTTCCCCAGTGTTCCCTTCCCAGCTCTGACGCCGCAGAGCATTTACCCCGCGTTCCCCTTCCCAGTTCTGATGCTACAGAGCCTTGCCTGTGTCTCTGTTCCCCGTTCCCTATTTCCTGTTCCCATTCCCCCCCTTAGCAAACCTGATTCCAATTTCCCTTCCCCCCACTTCCTGTTTGACCCCAGTTTATATAGTAATATTCTCAGCTCTATCATTCTTAACCGATCATTTTACTGAAATTTTACCAACCAATCCTAACATATTGTAACATAATTCTCTAACCAGTTATATCCCAGTACCCTCATTCATTTACACCCAGCAAAATTAATTCCACAGCAGACAGAAACAATTAGAGAACCGGGCAGATTAACAATAGAAAAATGGGGGCCATAAAGATAAAACAATACAGAAATGAGGGTTTCACAACCACAACCATTGATAAGGGATTTCTTGCCAGACAGGATGCTATCAAACTACGTTTTCTTTAAAAAGGATAAGGGGGCCGAGGTTGGGGCTGCAGCTGGGGGTGGATCTGGGGCCAGGAGCGGGGCTGTGGCCAGGGGCTGAGGTTGGGGGCGGGGGCGGAGCTGCAGCCGGGCTGTATTGGGAGCCAGTAGCCGGGCTGGCAGCCTGGTGAGGCTCCGCTCCCGGCCTCACCCCCAGCCTCAGCCTTGGGCCGAAAACGGAGCTGCAGCAAGCGGTCAAAGCTGAGGGCTGGTGTGGGGCCGGGGCCTCTGCACCGAGGCTGGGGGATGGGGTCAGGGACGGGGACAGGAATCAGGGTTGCGGTTGGGGGGAGGGACCGGAGCAGAGCTGGGGGCAGAGTGACGCTGGGTGGAACTCCCTTCCCACCCCGCATGGGAGCTGGCCTGGGGCCCGCCGTGGCCCCCCTCCCGACGTTCCCTAGGGGGGCGCACCCCACAGTTTGGAGACCTCTGGAGTACACGGACCTCTGATCCGATCTGGACTGGACAGTCCTATGTTCCCAATTACCAACCAATCAGGATTCACAGCCACATAACAGAGACCAATTTTACATCTTGGCAAATGTATGACTAAGAAACTGACTCATGGATTGTGGCAGGAAACTCTCTCTGATCAATGAGCCCTGCGGTAATTCAGTGGCATAGCTACCAACAGGTGTTACTGACGATATTAGCAGCTATCAGTGCTCAGTCCTTCCTGTAACTACTCTGTGATCTCTGTGCATGAGCTGAAGTACGGCTGGCTTCTGCATTGGTCTGAAAGAACAATGGGAAGGGTGCAGTTACCTATATCTCCAGTGGGTTTGTTTTACTACAATCGGCTTCTGCAGCAGGCTTAGCCACTTTACAGGCAATTCCTCTCTGCGCAATGCCTCTATAAAAGCAGTCCTTTTTCGCTCAGCAGATCTGCTCCCTGTAGGTATCCAAGTCCCATCTCCTGACTACAGAGTTAGTGCCTTCCCCTCTCTGTGGAGTGAGCCAAGCTCTGGGACCTGGATTCAATTCAGGCTCATGCATCGGCCTTGGAATTATATAGTAAACTGCAGTGAGTTCCAGCTGTGCAAATCCACTGATGGCACCAGGGCTGCCGAGGGGTCACTGAGGGCAGGATGGGAAGGCAACAGGGGCCATAGATTGCAGACGGCAGAGAGGAGCAGATATTTGTAACTTTGCATGAGGCAGAAGCAAAGGGCAGGAGGATAAGAGTATTTGCAGGGTACGGGTCAGCCATCCGGACACATGGAAGCAGAAATCCTCCGTTTGATGATAAGCCATTGCACGTCCCAATCTGGTTGTGTATATGGTCCCTGAGCTGGTCAGAGATCACACAGAGCTTAAGTTGCTTGCATCAGCTCTGCTTTATTCTCAGTCTGAATCAAACTGACTGTGCAAAACAACACCTACAAGAGGTTCCCATGGCCCCACTGAGACTCTCTGTCTGGGAACCTCAACCCTTACAGGCACAGCCCCTCCCTCCCAGTACCACATCTCTCCTTCTAAGCAAAACTTAGTAACACCTAGAAGAAACCAACACACAGTTACTAACAATGTTCAACTAGTCTCTGAGGTGCTCTGCACTGTCCCCTGGAACATCAGCTCTACAGCTGTCAGGAGGCAGCAAGTCCACTTGTCTGGTTGTTCCCTGTCTGAGACCTCCGTTGTCCCAACCCATTATCCCCATAAAAGGGGGATAATGATACTCCCTTTGTATATTTAGATTTCAAGCTCTTTGGGGCAGGGGCTGTCTCTCGCTGTGTGTCTCTGCAGCGCCTGGCACAACGGGGCCCTGATCTCAGCTGAGGCCTCTATGCACAGTCATAATACACAATGACTCATGATAATAATAATGGAGGACGGGGCCCACAGAAGGACAGTTCAGTAGCCTACCAGTGCATACAGTTCGGTGGCTTATTGCTATATTAGTCACCAAACCACAGCTACCTCTCACATCTTGGCAAATAAGGTCCAATACACAGAGTGTCTCTCCCATTTCCTTTATTGACTAAGAAGAGAATGCCTGTTCGTGAATTGTTCGTGCAGTGGGTAGATCAAGGGGTCTCAACCTTTTCCACATCAAAACCGACTTCTCATTTAACACTACAGGAAAGGCAGCGTGATTACAGCCCTTTGGTAACAGCTTGTTTGCCACATCCAGGTTGAGAAGCCAGTAGGAGAGGTATTGCTTCAAGAGGAAGGGAAGAACATAGTGTTTTCTTTGATGGTTTTTGTAGCTGGTCATGTGGAAAACTATATTAATATTCAGAAAAATAACTTGTACGTTACTGAAGGCCCTAATGCTGACACTTTGGAACATTAGTTGAGACCAGAGCTGGTCAGAATATAGGGGAGGGGGTTTGTGTAGAAAACTTCAATTTTTTTAGCCAAAACTGAAATATTTTGATTTAGAAATGCTGCTGTGGTACCTCATGGGAGATGTAGTTCTGTTTCCTCATGCTCCCATTCTCCTCTACATGCCAGGCCTCTCGGTCAGACTACGTCTCCCACAATGCACCGCAGTCTCCCATCTAGGAGTGGGGATCACAGTGGTCCCTTCTGGCCTCAGAATCTACGAGAACTACATTTCCCAGCCCAGTTTTCCATCGAAACACAGGTTTGGACCAGTCCTCAGTGAGTCGACAGTGGTCAATATCTCCAGTTCAGAAAGCCAAATGACGACTAATCACTCTCCCTCATTCCAAAGGCCTTGCATTGCCTTTTGCCGTGGCTTTGTGCATCAGGCTGGCCTGCTGCAGACCCAGCGTCTCCCTGTGCTACATCTTGAGCTGCTGATACCTTTGTCGTCATTCAGATACGCGCATTCACCTCCTCCCCTTATTGGAAACCTGCAACACAAAGGCCATGGGATTTAAAAAACAAACAACCCCGTTGGCGTCAGTGGGGCAGATTCCCAGCTGGCGTAAGTCATATAGCTCCACTTAAGTTGCAGAAGTCAATGGAGCTATTCCAATGCACCCCAGCTGAGAATATCTCCCCGCACGTTAGCCACCTTAGACCATGATAGAAAGGGAATGTAACGAAAGAGACTTACTGGTCATTGAATGGGGTGTCATTTACCCATTTCCAGGGCTTGTCTGCTTGGTCCCTGGTAAGGCCAATCCAGGTTTCTGAGCGTCCCTTATAGTGCAGCATAAACTCCTTATTAAAAAAAAGTGAAAACAAAAATGGTGCATTACATGTTACTGAGACGCTAATGGAGAAGATGCAATAAAGACACAAAGATCTGCATCACATTCCACATGTGTAACTAGTTTACAGGACCAGCCTATCCAATAATACATATCAAAGATTGGGGGGAAAAATCCAATCGCTTTTTTTATACTTGGAACTTAAGGCCACGTGAACAATTTTAACATGCCAATTAGCCCCAGATGTACTCATTGAAAAATATACATTTAGGCCCTGATCCCATAATATATGGAGATATACCTATCTCATAGAACTGAAGGGACCCCAAAAAATCATTGAGTCCAGCCCCCTGCCTTCACTAGCAGGACCAAGTACTGATTTTGCCCCAGATCCCTAAGTGGCCCTCTCAAGGCCTGAACTCACAGCCCTTGGTTTAGTAGGCCAATGCTCAAACCACTGAGCTCATAAGGGGCTAAAGAGTTGAGCACAAATTGAAATGAGTCAACAGTGTGATGCTGTGGGCAAAAAAGGCTATTATTATATTATTAAGAATATATTAATAAGAATATTATTAAGCCTATCATTCTGCTCAGATACTACAGCGATCAGTGTGGCATAAGAACCTCTGTAGACTGGACTAGAATAGACACAGCTTGGGCAGTCCCCTGCTTCTGGGCGTGCAGGAATCTGGCTGCCTGGAGCGCACTGTCGGATCAGGGCCTTATTTTGGCTTCTCATCATGAGACTTGGTACCGAGGCATCTCCTCGTTCTAGAGGTGCTGAGCCCCCTAGCATAAAATATTCCTCAGGTTTAACTACAAAGTTCCGGGCAGCAGCTCCGCAATCATTACCTAGCTGTTGCCAAGCCCGGACTATTGGGATCGCAGAGTTTCTCACCTTTTCCTCCCGGGTGTCAACTGTAGCCAGGGAGGCACCGAGCGAAGAGCAGTTTCTCTGGCTGGAGTTCCAATCCCCATCGACTTTTGAGAAATAGTAGCATTTCCATGGGTATGTTTTCCCTTGGGACCCGATCCAATTGACTGGACATGTGGTAGTGGCATGATTTGGGCAGGGCCTACTGCTAACCACTGAAAACGAAATTAACACAACAGTGAGGATCTTTCCCATCCCCTCTCTGTACAGGATTCAGAGGCAAAGAGTGATATTCCACCTTGGGCTGAGAGCCTGCGTACAAGGATTATACCCGCCACCCACTTAAGTTCTCAAAATAGGACGTAAGTGGCCCAAAGATTGTGTGCCGGGTCTACACTTGGGTGACAAGAACATAAGAACGGCCATAGTGGGTCAGAACAATGATCCATGTAGCTCAGTGTCCTGTCTCTGACAGTGGCTGCTGCCAGATGCTTCAGAGGGAATGAACAGAACAGGGCAATTATTGAGTGATCCAGCTTCTAGCAGCTGGAGGAAACCCAGAGCATGGGGATGCATCCCTGACCTTCTTGGCTAATAGCCATCGATGGACCCATCCTCCTTGAATTTATCTAATTCTTTTTTTAACCCGGTTATACTTATGGCCTTCACAACATCCTCTGGCAAGGAGTTCCACAGGTTGACTGTGCGTTGGGTGAAGAAGTACTTCCTTTTGTTTGTTTTAAACCTGCTGCCTGTTAATTTCATTGGGTGACCCCTAGTGCATGTGTTATGGGAAGAAGTAAATAGCACTTCCCTATTCACTTGCTCCATGCCATTCATGATTTTATAGACCTCTATCATCTCCCCATATAGTTGTCTCTTTTCTAAGCTATATAGTCCCAGTCTTGTTAATCTCTCCTCATAAGGAAGCTGCTCCATTCCCCTGATCATTTTTATTGCCCTTCTTTGTATTTTACTCAGAACTATTGACAGGTTCAAATATCCCACCTGCAGCTGGGTGCTTATATTGTTAGCTATGAGATCGACACCGGAGTTTAACCAGAATAGTTCTGCCACGAAGCTTTGATGCTGCATCATGAAAGGCTACAGGAGCTTTGCCGTTGATCTCAATGGGAGCAAAGTCAGGCCCCAGATCCCCAGTATAAATTCCGTCATCGCACATTAGCAAGCAATGGAGGTGAACAGCTTAATGTGCAACGTAGCTGGAAGCTGGCAATCAGACACAAGAACCTCAGGCTGATGGCAGGGTTTTATGAAATGGGCATGCCAATACTGTGGAATAACATCGTCACCGGGGGACTAGGCCTTTAAGGAGAGATGGGGCCTGCCTGATCTGTGCCATATGTAATTCTGTGCTTCCCAGCCTGAGGGGGTGGGACTAAGGGGGCTGAAATAAATCAGTCGAGAGTTGAACCACAGAGAGTGGGTAGGAGCCTGTGGAAGGCTCTGAGCTAGGGTCTGCAGGAGGCTGCTACTCCAGCCTGGGGGGGCAAGTGCTTCACCCCAGAGAGACAGAAAGGTAACCCAGAAGGAACTGGGAACTCATCCTGGAGGGTGGCACTTTTAGCTGGACTTTTGTTACCCTGGAAGGGGGTTACGTTTGTTTGTAACTTAGCCGGAGGGACCAGCCACATTTCCAGCACTGACTGGTGTCTGGCAAACTAAGAACGCCCACCTTGGGGCGGGAAACTGAGGCTGGGAGTGTTGTTTGGCCAACAGAGGCTGCTATGAGGTGGCCTGAAATCACATTTACATATCACGTGAGATATCTGCATCCTAAATGCCAGGTAGGCATCTAAACGACGATCTCAGGTGCTGAGAACCTATTTATATGCGCAGTTATGGGAAGTGCATTTTTACACCCAGGGCTCCGGCCTTCCTATCTGCAAACGTGACCATTCAGGGATGGAAAATGCCCCTAAACCACTATCAATTTTACACGTTTTGGGAAAATCTCTATTGTCGTGCCCCATTTACAATTACACCTCTACCTCGATATAACGCTGTCCTTGGGAGCCAAAAAATCTTACCGCGTTATAGGTGAAACCGCTTTATATTGAACATGCTGTGATCCACTGGAGTGCGCAGCCCCCTGTCCCCGGAGCGCTGCTTTACCGCGTTATATCCGAATTCGTGTTATATCGGGTTGCGTTATATCGGGGTAGAGGTGTACTTAGATATGGACGGAGGTGTGCATAGAATGTTACACGTAAGAATTAAGACCCGGCTATTTCCCAGAGGAACCTACAGTCTAATACAGACAAAAAACGACATGGAAAGTTACATTTGCAAAGTCAAACACTCAAAAGTTACGGCCAGGAGGCCACTCAAAATCCCAGCCGCTAACAAGTCTCTACTGAGCACGTATGGATGGAATTTTTTCAAAGGCTTATAACGTCCCCAAATTTGGGTGGTTTTTCATGGGACCCGCCAGCGGCACGCCCTTGACACAAAGGGTATGTCTTTACCGAACTGTTAACCCAGGCTCTTCCCCAGGTTTTAGCTCCCGTCCATGCAGGAAAAAACAATGACGTGTTTGGAGGTGATTTAAGCGCACACTGGCTGACCTGGCTGGGGGATGGGTTAGGATCTAGGCTCTGCTTTAACTCAGGCTGGAACCCACCAACTTTGTAGGGAGGACGCAGGCTAAATCGTTCAAGTGAATGAATCTATAAAAATCATTCAAGTGCTGATTGTCGTCAAAGGCCTTCCCCACAACGCCCCCTGAAGGACAGAGAAGTTCTCCCACAAGTGACTGGGAAGGAATCCCAGAGGGTCTCAGCACAAAGAACCATGAGAAGTCCTAGGGAGACATGGGAAGCACACAACTAGTGAGGATACAGTAACTCAGGTAGGGCTTTGCTGTGGGGACGCCTGCACCTGGGCAAAGCTAGCCTGGGTGTTCCAACCTGGGGGCCAATCACCTGGGTTATTTGTGCTGTGTAGACATACCCAAAGCCAACTCCCCTGTCAAATTTCAAGTCCCTTCTCCAAGGCACAGAGGCCCTAGAGATTCTCAGCCAGAAGGCTGTAAGAATTATTTTGATGGGGGGAAACAACTAGTTTCAGCCAGAGGGATAAAGCAAAGCAGAAATGTCAGACTTCAGACTCTTTGCTTTCCTATCGCATGCTGGTTCAGCACTACTAAGGTTGGGGAGGCTGGATTGTGCATCTTCCATGATTCTGACTGCGAAGGGAAAACAAACACCAAAAACTCAATTAGGAATTGCTGTCAACTCACCTGCCAAAACAATAACAGCAATAATGAGAAAAACCAGAAACAGGACCATGACTAATCTGTATTTCCAGAGGATACGGAAAAGCCAGAAGTGAGATTCATCTGAAAAAGAAAAACACGTTAATGTTCCTGAGGCTGCTTTAGGAGAGATAGAGGAACCACATTTATCAACAGTATCTGCAGCCAAGCCCCTAGTGGCCAAGTATTGTTTTGCAATCACTATCTGTTATGAACTGTACTTGCTAGTAAATCCTGGGAAATGTAATATTGTGCACGATAGCCAGAGCCCTGTGTATTCTACAATTCTATGGCTGCAGGGTTCATACCTTGCTGCATAATTGTGCTCCAGAATCTGACCTTTGATTTAAAAATACATGTTTCTAGTCCTCGTGGTTGCAAAGAACAGCTTGACGTGAGTGCAACCGATGCAGCAATATCTGCCCGAGTCTGCAGAAAGCCTGAAACAACAGCTCTGAGAGAGGGCAACTACCCACTATGGGGTGTTAACTCTAAAACTTATAGATAATAATGTGACACATATAGAAAAGGTAGGAACAGAGTAAAATAAGCTTAATTTATTATAATTAGAGCTGGTTGAAAAATGAACAATTGCTTTCATTTTGCAGGGTTTGAAATGTGCCCCTTTTTTAATTTTACAATTTTTTTTCAAAAACTTCAATTAAAAAAAAAAAAGAAAATCCCCAAGATGAAAAACATTACATTAAAAAAAAAAAAGAGGAGTCCTTGTGGCACTTTAGAGACTAACAAATTTATTTGGGCATAAGCTTTCGTGGGCTACAGCCCACTTCATCAGATGCATGGAGTGAAAATACGGTAGGCAGGTATAAATATAGAGCACATGAAAAGATGGGAGTTGCCTTACCAAGTGGGGGGGTCAGTGCTAATGAGGCCAATTCAATCAAGATGGATATGGCCTATTCCCAACAGTTGACAAGAAGGTGTGAATATCAACAGAGGGAAAATTACTTTTTGTAGTGACCCAGCCACTCCCAGTCTTTATTCAGGCCTAATCTGATGGTGTCAAGTTTGCAAATTAATTCCAATTCTGCAGTTTCTCGTTGAAGTCTGTTTTAAAGACGAGGGTCCCGCCCATCCTTTCTGCCTGTGGCCCCACCCACGGTGCCACCCCATTCCACCCCTTTCCCCGTGGCTCCGCCCCCTGCTTGCTCCTTTCCACACCCCCACTGTGGCCGTGAGACTGGAGAAGCTCTGTGCCCCTGCGGTGGCCCTGAGGCCATGGTGGGGAGGAAGCGGGGAGCAAGCACTTCTCCAGCCCTGTGGGCCCATGTGGTAATCCACCATTGACTGATTGCATTATATTTTTCAAATTAATCTCATAAGAGCTCACATTTTTAATTTATCTGATGCCACCAGAGAATTTCCACCAGATGCAACAGAATCCAGGAACACTGAAGCAAAATTTAAATCCAGTTCGCCACAGAGTACATAGGGCTGGCCTATAGTGTTATGTTATGTAACCATTAGGGTGGCAATTTACACTGTCTTCTAAGAAGTGTGAAGGAGACACACTACTGAGCATCTGTGCAGCTATTTCTTGTCCTCCCTCAACCTCCGATGGTTAATAAATAGGATCAGACAAGAACAGGGCCCGAGTCATGCCAGAACACTCCAGTTCTGGTACTTCTGTTGGGAGGAGAACAGCGTTCTGGTACGCCTGATAAAAGTGCAATTCTCAGAAGTACCGGAACACTGTGAACCTTTCGATTAAAGGCGCATTGGTAAGCTTGTAAACACGGCAATTCTTTCCATACTTCTTTATCGTTCTTCCATTTGTCTTGACAGCGAAGCTTCGCTTACCTGGTCTGTTTTTTGTCTGTGAGCCTGCAGAGTTAGGAAGTGCCTTAGCTGTCTCTCCTCTATTCTCCATGTAGCAAGTGGGGCACATTGCTTTCCTGTATCTTCTGGCTGCAATCAGTATCGACTGGCTGCAAGGAAGTGTACATTATTCAAAGGTGGCAGAGCTAGTTTCTGCTATTGAGTGTCTTATAGTACCACCTACAGGCAATGACTGAGATCAGCACCCCAACAACCTAAGTATTGTACACCCGCGTCATAAGAGACTCATTTGACACAAGAACCTCAGGCTGATGGCAGGGTTTTATGAAACTGGCATGCCAATACTGTGGAATAACATTGTCACCGGGGGACTAGGCCTGCATTTTTCTGCATTTTTCTCCGAAAGGAAGAAAAATGTCGTCCATTTCTAGCAGTGCAGGCCCCTCCCAGATTCTAATGCGATGGGAAAGTCAGTTCCGGAGCCATGTAGGCAAGAGGTAGTTGTGATGTCAGGGATGCTACAGCCCGAGATCCATTTCCGTGGATGAGTTCAAGACAGTTGCCTTGGTGTTGGGGGTTCTGATCGGTAGATTTCACAGGCTGGTTGTTTTCCACGGCAGAGTGTGTGGGCCCCTTCACAGCCGCCTCTCCTCTGAGGCTGGTGTGCTGAGGGGCTCCCCTCTACTGTTTCAATCCATTTCAATCCCTGCTCTCAGCCACGCTGAGCCACAAGGCACATTTTGACTCCTCCTCTGGTGAGCGAGGGGAGTGGGGAGCACATGGTGAAACTGGAGACAGGTTGAGAAAGGTGCGTTGGGGATAGAAAGGGTTGGAAAGGAGAGGAGGAGAAGGGGGAGACTCAGAGAGAGGGAAGGGAAAGAAAGGTTAATCATGGGGAGGAGAAATGAAAAATTGAGGGAAAGAGAGGAGCAGTCACAGAAGGGAAATTGAAATGTGGAAGGAACACACAAGCACGCTTCAACTTGGCTGGCTAGGGGATCTGCTGGAGGATACAGATTCCTTTTGGACACATCTCACCTCTTGGCCGCATTCTCTTTCCTTCCTCCAAGCTGACGCAACATCATGTGTCCACTTGACAAGGACACCCAGGATAACATGTCATATGGGCTACCAAGGGAGGTGGTGGAATCTCCATCCTTAGCGGTGATATAAAATTATTCTACTTAACTGCCAGGGGGCAAATTTGTCACGTACACATGGGAAACATGCAGCGTCAGCTATATCTTAACTCAGGAAGTTCCTTCGAGAGGAAATGTAGCCAAACTCCAAACCTGGAGACAATGGACCTTTCTGTGCCTGCATCCTGTAGATAAACTGCTTGGTTTGCAAAATAACGCAAGGGGGGGGCAAGTAGATGAACAATAAGGGGTCATATGAGGGGCAGATACATGTAGCTTGCTAATTATTTATGGTAATGATAGCAAATTTTGGCCAATCATAGAGCGATAGATTATCATAATCAACTGCATATAATGCTTTGGTGTAAGTGTTTTCTTTGTTCTTGCTGACTTATGAGCTCGAACCCAATTGCAATTGAAATAAACGGATCGCCCCTCCTGGGGCTCCTTGCTTGGCTAGCTGTGTCCGTCTCTCCTTATTCCTCAGCTGGAACGGACAGGAATTTCTATGACAGAGGTTTTTAAGGCCTGGCTTGATAAAGCTGGGATGGTTTAGTTGGGGTTGGTCCTGCTTTGAGCAGGGGGTTGGACTAGATGACCTCCTGAAGTCTCTTCCAACCCTAATCTTCTATGCTTCTATGATTTCCCTTTCATTTTTATTTTCTTTCACCACCCTCCCCCTCTCCATAATCACCAACATGATGTAGGCCAGTGGATCTCAAGCTTTCCAGACTACTGAACCCCTTTCAGGAGTCTGATTTGTCTTGCGTACCCCCATGTTTCACCTCACTTAAAATCTGTTTGCTTACAAAAGCAGACATAAAAATACAAAAGTGTCACAGCCACTATGACTGAAAAATTGCTGCCTTTCTCATTTTTACCATATAATTATAAAAGAAATCAACTGGAATATAAATATTGTACTTCGGTTTCAGCAGATAGTCTATAGAGCAGTATAAACAAGTCAACGTCTGTTTGAAATTTTAGTTTGTACTGACTTCGCTAGTGCTTTTTATGTAGCCTGTTGTAAAACTAGGAAAATATCTACATGAGCTGATGTACCCCCTGGAAGATCCCTGCGTACCCCCCAGGGGTCTGCGTACCCCTGGTTGAGAACCACTGATGTAGGCAACCTTACCTTGAAAAGGGCTTGTATTGATTAGTCTGGTTGCTTAGACAGATGTACATGGGACTTTACAGAAAAATTAAAGTCTCCAAAAACTTTGCAATCTAAATTACACACTCACCCCTTCAATGCCCTCTCCCTTGCTCCGTGTGGGAAATCCCACATGTTACATTTCAGAACTGAGGCCTAACATACTTCCCTGATACAGAATGGAGAAAGAAATATATAGAGAGAGTAGAGTCACGCACTCCCATTTCTTTCCTCCTCACAGTGCTCCACCATATTATCTATCTTAGGGTTTGATCTTGTTACCCATCTCTGCAATATCCTCTGACTACGGCACTAACTCAATACCTCTGCACGATACAAGAGTCACGTCTTACCTGGGAGCTCAGAGCTGCTCAGCAGAGAGGAGTGTGAAGGGCCCAGAAAAGAGACAGTGCCACCCCCACAGGGTAACTGTCCTAAACTCTTCCAATTGAGAGCGACATTCCCAAGACCAGCTGGGAGTCAGAACATGACCATATCAAGAAAACCACCAGATGAATTTCATCCAATCACAGCATCAAGGCATGTCAGGAGGTTTTTCTTGGCAGTTGTTATGGCAACTGTGAGTCACTTGTACATGAGCATGCAAGATGAAAGTCTTCATAGAAAGAGGACACAGCAAGCTCAGATAGCTGTGATGGGTTAAATCCTTCTCCCAGGGGCAGGTGAACCTTTCTAAGGTTCCTTTCAGCTGCAGAAGAGCTGCACAAAAGATGGTTAATGGCCTGGCCACTTTTTTATGCCATGTGGTCCTAGGTGAATGGGGAGATCCACAACAGCCAGCCAGCTAGGGGTCTCCTCGCCTGAACTAGCCAATGGGAGATGCCAGTGAGAGGGGGTGTGTCCAGCACCAGGTTTACAATGGCGCCACTGGTGCCATGGTGCCAGGCCCACAATCAGAAGGGGCCCCGGTGCCCTGACTGTGGCCCCCGCCCCCACCTGTGGTCTGCCCTGAGGCCACGCCCCCACTCGCTCCTCTCCACCCCTCCCTCCCCTCCACCCATGTGAGTAGCGGGCCTTGGGAGGAAGAGGCAGAGTGAGGGCAGGGCCTCAGGGTGGAGCAGGGGGTGGGGCCTTGGGGGGGGCAGGAGCCTTAGGGTGGAGGAGGGGGCGGGGCCACGCTCTGGGCACCGAGGCCCACAAAAGATTAATCCAGCCCAGGTGTGTCCTAAGCACCATCCCTCTCACGGAGTTAGAGGCTTAAATCCAGACTACAGGGAAGCATCTCTCTCTGCTTGCCAGGAACCCCTCTCCAGGAGCCATGCGGCTTCTGTGCCAAAACCATTTCTTGCAAGAAGTTTGGGCACCTGCTTCACTATATTAAAAAAATAGGAGCGAGGCTGCCAACCTTGTGACTTTCAGCCCAGTGGGCAGAGCGCTCACCCGGGAGGCAGGAAACACAGGTTCAATCCTCCCGCTCTGCCGGATGGCAAGAATGCATTTTAATGGGAGCAGAGAAGTATCTGCGTAATGTTTGACCTTTGCACTGGGAAGGGTGGCTACATGGGGGGTAAGGTAAATTTTGGGGTGGCTATAGCCCTGTAAGGCCCCCCCTCCGCAGCGCCGCCCTGGTGACAGGTATTTCTTAGATGCAATCTTGTTTATTTACAAGGCATGTACAAAGTCTTGGGTCTGTGAACCCAGAAAGAAGCAAATAGCAGGAAACAGCTTTGTCACAGACAATCTTTTCCTCCTGCACCCTTGACCCAAAAACCAATCCCCAGCTTTCTGCCTGGGTCAGACACCAGGCTTCGGATGCTCCTTCAGGCTGCGCGTGGGGCTCTCTGATCCTTTTCATAGAATATCAGGGTTGGAAGGGACCTCAGAAGGTCATCTAGTCCAACCCCCTGCTCAAAGCAGTGCCAATCCCCAGACAGATTTTTGCCCCCGATCCCTAAACAGCCCCCCTCAAGGATTGAACTCACAATGCTGTGTTTAGCAAGCCAATGCTCAAACCACTGAGCTATCCCTGTGTTCTTCCTTCCCTACACACCCCTTTCCCAAAACAACACTCAACAAAAACCACACTGCCCCCTCAGTCCAAAACTCCTCAGGGGGGTCACAACTGTCTTAGGTGGGGGGCTTGTGATGAGATTATCCTGACGGTTAATTGAAGGGTGCATTCGCACCCATCAATCTCAGAGGTGCGCGATTCATGCAGTCACCAGTACCTCTCAGCAGAACGATGGCATTCAGGTTTGGTGGGAGTGACTTCCAAAGGGGCAAGAAAGTGCAGGATCAGGCTCATTGCTCTACGGGGATTCTAGCTGGGACGTTACCACTCTCCCCTTCAATGGTATAGAGGTGGATTTGCAGGGGTTAGATTGCTACATTGTCCCTAAGCTGAAGCCACCATCTGTTTTCCATTTTCCCTCCTCCTGGATGCACTTTGTTGGGGGAGGGGAAGATTATTCTACTAAACTCAACCCAATTCGTGACTCACAACAGATTTGGCAGTTCTCCTGAAGGGGAAACAGACCCCTTCCCTATGGCACTGGGGTGGAAAAAGGAGATATTAGCTGGTGGCTTTGCTGTGACATGGTACAATTGACTTCCCTGTCCATAAACCATATCTGCACACACACGCAGGGTAGGTGAATCCAGAACACACACAGACACAGAATGGGGAGAAGACACACCACACACAAACACGGTAGGTAAATCCAGAACACACACACACACATGCAGGGTAGGTGAATCCAGAACACACACACATGCACGATAGGTGAATCCAGAAGAAATACATACACACACACACACACACACACACACACACACACAGGGTAGCTGAATCCAGAACACACACACACACACACACACAGATAGAGGCACAGTAGGTGAATCCAGAACACACACACAGACACATATGCAGGGTAGGGGAATCCAGCACACACACACACACACTGGGGAGAAGAGCCCTATGAATCAGGAAGATGGAAAGAGACCAAAGGACGTTGACAGAATGCTGACAGCCCTGCTGCATAAACACTTCCTGATCCACTCCCTCAGCTGCCTTAGTGACCATATTTGTTCATCGCAGAGTCTCATTGCACCAAGCTAGTGAAGACCAGACGTGTCCGTTAGACTCTCGCCTGCTGCAGTGAAATCGCACTGCGTGGTTCATGACTGTTATTTGGCTGGTTTTGTGAATGCCGTGCTGCTGTCTCCAGCTTCCTTTCACATTTATCTTTCTTGGTGTCCCTTCTGCCTGGGAGATTTTGATTTTTCTGTTTGCTTGTGGCCGCAGTAATGAAGATATGACCCACAGTGAGCAAGTATGGACTTACCAGGGCATTCAGCGAGCAGGTATGTGAACAATTTCAATCTTCCACAGGTAGAAAAGGGACTGATGTGGAGAAGCATAATGTTAGATTTAGTGACATGGACCGGAAAGAACAGTGAGTGAGCCTGAGAAGGACAGTGAGGGTGGGATCTAAGTTTACTGGTTACATTTTTTCCTGTTCTAGTAACTCCTCAAATTTAGATGGGTTAGGCTGCCACATCAGCATTAGCAGAGTGATTGTTGTTAACAAGGCAAAATATGCAATGCACGAACTGCTTAAAAACTGCAGCACTGAAAACTTAAAAAGTTATAAGTGGTCAGCCTGGCAGAGGTGCTGGGCAAGTTTGCAATGTAGCCCCCTCAACCTCTTCAATGACAAATCAGGGACAAATCAATGAGAAATCAGGGACAAAATTAAAGTGAGGAAGAAGAATTCCCCAGCTACCTAGTTTCTGCTTTGGGGTGATCGACTCTGCAAGTGACACTCTAACATGACCACGTTGCAGATCAGAGCAGAAAGCCCACCCTATGGAATTTTGTTGCAACTGAGCTAAGGTACACCAGGGAGAGACCTGGCCCCATAAGATTTTTGTGACCTGGGGAGAGCAAAGCATGATGGGGCACTTCAGTTATTAACAATTTTTTGTAAACCAAAAAAAAAATCACTATTTAAATTATATTTGAAATTTTTGTTGGAAAATATTTTTGAAGGTGAGACAGTGTTTTCAGATCAGGGGAGACAAATTCTTACCTTTTCTGGCCCCTCAAAGACCATGCTAAATATTTAGTATTTGTCTCATAGCATGGGCCAGTGACCAGAACTCCATGGTGGCAGGCACCGTGTAAACTGGAGCTGGTTAGAAAACGGGATGTTCTTCTACAGAAAATGCGGACAGAAGCAAAGTTTTCAATGGGAGTCTTTCCACTGACTTCAGGGGGAGTTGGATCAGGCCCTAAAAACACAGGGCGTGGTCTGCCTGCCGGTGCCATCTGAGAAAACTTTTGCGTATTTCAAATTTCCAAAGCCCCCAAAATAGTTTGGCCAAAATCCAAAAAATAGTTCATTTTTTGGTCAAAAATGCAGTTTTTATCTTTGAAAATCTTGCTCTTAATTTCTAAATATTGGCTAGAGCACATCAGCCCCACAGAAACGTGTTTAAAAATAAAGTTATATTGAGAGCCATCAGCTACAAGACTCCATTCACTATTAAATGTCCATAGCACCAAGAGATACACCCATCAGGATCAGGATCCTATTGAGCAATTCATTTCCAAGCTCCCCGGGTCTTTATTTTCCCCTCCCCACCCTGACGAAGGAGAGTGAAAAGTTTCCGGCTGAATGGGGCATTTAAAACCGTTTTTTTGAAGCGTTGCATGGGGGCAAGAAAACCAAAGTAGTGTGCTTCTTTTTTTGCATGCCTGCTGAGACTTACCACATGGTAAAATTGTGTAGCTCAGAGGATCTCAGAGGGTGGTCTGCATGCTGATCGGTGAGGCTCAGCAGAGAGCTAGCTGGTCACAGAGCATTGGCTCTTTCTCCTTGTTTCAGCTGCCCCAATAAATAAATACATAAATGAAAATCATAGATAAAAGTGTTACGTAGGTTCTTAATGGTACTTTTCAGAATCAACCATTGCAGTTAGAATCATAGAATAGAATCATAGGACTGGAAGGGACCTTGAAAGGTCATTTCCAGTCCAGTTCCCCGTTAGCCACAAGGACGCTGCATGGTAGAGAATGGAAGGAGAGGAGAATCCATAGGTTGAGCTACATATTTAAATATAGGAGTACTTGTGGCACCTTAGAGACTAACAAATTTATTAGAGCATAAGCTTTCGTGGGCTACAACCCACTTCTTCGGATGCATATAGAGTGAAACCTGTCATATTTAAATATAGTCCACGCAATGAACACGTTTGGGAACCCCTGCGTTTACCCTCAGTGTGTTGCAGTGTGAAACTGGGGCTCTAAGAGGGTCCCATCTGAATGTGAGGTAGGGTTTACCTCAGCCACTGTGGTGTATAAGGAGACAGGACAAAGAGGGTTTGCTGTTTTTCTCTGACCCTAGTGTGGCTCTGAGAGGATCCCAGCTTGAGTGGAATTTATTCTGTTAGTTGTTACAACATTTTCCACTATAAATTGCAAGAGAGGTAAAGAGTGGGTATTTTGAACAGGGCTAACTAGCCAGGGGGCTGAACCAGCATCGGGCCAATTTAAAGGATTCCAAGATGGCGCCGGCAGCCGGGCCGCACCCTAATCTTGTTTGGTCTTATCCAACTCCCGCTCAATTTGATGAATGCCAAGATGGCGCCTGCAGCCCAGCCATGAATTATATGGCAAATATGCCCAACGGAGAGTGACGTGAAATGGGAGTACTTCCGTACACGGCATTCTACAACTAAAACCCGAGACTGCTGCTTTTTAAAAACAGATCGAAAGCTTGCAAGACTCATTCCCCTTGCTAAACTGGACTCCGCTATCTTGCACCGTGTACCGGCATTTACCCCAGTGCAGATGGTGTTTGAGTCACTTCCATTCTGATTTAGTCAGATGTTAGGCAGTATTATTTTCTGGCTGGGATGCATTCAGTGTGTCCATGCCCACGGATGTAAATGTAACTGGGGTGCTGGAACAATGTGTATGGGGGGGGCTGAGAGCCATTGATCCAAACTGTAAACTCTGTATGTGATGGAAACCACTTCAAGCCAGGGGGTGGTGCTGCACCCCCAGTTCCAGCACCTATGAATGTAGCCCTTCTACCAGGTGGAGTCGGCAGCAATAAGGGCTGGGTTCAATATCTAGGGGTTCCTTTCAACAATATGACACAGAACCGGCTTGAGCCCCTCACCCAGAAATCTGGGAAAATTGCACATCTGGGCACCTCGATGACACAGTACTTCCCCTCTCGCAAGCACTGCGTCGGTGTATAGCAAAGAAAACTTCTAATGAAAAGGGGAAAGGAACCCGGCATTCATTCAGGAAAACGCCACCAGCAGGATTCGAAAACATGTGACCAAGAACAAAACACTCACCCCAGAGTACGCTAGGCAGTATCCTTCACCTCAGTTCCTCACCTTGCGGTGTGAAAGTCCAGCAAACAAATGTTCCTTTAACACGCCGCTCCCCTCTTCCTCTACCGCATCCCACTCATGGTTGTTGGCCTTACTCAGTTCTTAATGGGGGAGCCTCTCTGCTAGTGTAGGCTGGGCAGTCTCTTTCACCACAGTAGCTGTAAGACTTAGCATGTACCTGGCTATCAGTGATCTCAACTCTAGTGATCCATAACAAGACTCTCAAGTGAGTCTAATCAGCTCTGTCATTAAATGCTGGAGAGAGAAAGGGTCAGATGGTATCTATAACCCTTGTGCAGAGCCAAGCCGCCGCTCAGCTGCTGTGCTTGAAATATTCTGCAGTATTCCAGACAGAGGCTTGACGTCTGCCAAAATAAGAGGCGTGGCTTATGAGAGTGAGGCTCTGGCATGGGTGGTTTGGATGGGCAGCAACCACTCCCTGTTGATGACCAGGATTTGAGCCGAGGAGGGAGAGAGAAAATAGTAGTGGTATTCTCCCACAATCCGCCTCCAAACCAACTCTCACTGATTTGAGATGCCAACATTAGATGCCACTTAGAGCTGGTCAGAATTCCAAATTTCCGTTTCGCCGGAAGTTTTGGCATTTCGAAATATTTTCGTTCCGAATCAGAATACATGCCAATATATTTGAAATTTTCTTCCAAATTGGATTCTGGAAAATGTTTGGCTTTAGAAAAAAAAATTATATTGGCATTTTAAAACTTTTATTTAGAATTTTTTATTTTATTTGATAGGGCTTTTCATTTACATTTTTGATGTTATTCCATGATGTGAGTATTAGTACATAATATGCATTACTGCTATTGACGTTATTATATGAAAAAGATGAAATAGTCCTTTATTTTATTTGTTTAAAATCATGAAAGAAGGCAGCTTCTCGGTACCGATGGATACTTTGATCTAGAAAACATAAGCTGTAGCTCCTGTTTGCGTTTGTAAATGAAACAGTCTGACATGAAAAACCCTTTCTATGAAAAATGTCTGACCCGTTCAATTGCCCCTCAGAATAGATTGTTCAATGCTAAAAATATGATCAGGGAAGGTTTCTGGGTTCTGCTGGGTTTTTGGGGTGTGGCTCCTTCCTGATTGGGGGGAAAATTGGCAATAATTTCCCAAAATTTCTTCCCGTAGCATCAGAATGAGCTGGCAGTCATAAAGATCTTCTTAATATGACCCTCCTCTCCCTCTTTTCTTACATTCTTTGAGCAGTGAAATAGTTAACAGTGTGGACATTTAAATCATTGGCATTGGACATCTGAGATAGGAAAAAATAGAGGAAAGTAAAAGGTTTCTTCTTATCTCTGTCAGTTATTTTAGGGTTTGTCTACACTTATGTTAAAATATGACAAATATTTACCTAAGGTGTTTAACATAGTTTTAAATTCTTCTTCGTCCCAAGTTTAATTACAAGGAATAAACATACGCGTCATGCCTACAGTAGAATTTACAATCATGTTACTTAACACTAGAGCAGGGTGACATTTTTTTGGCTGAAAAACCAAAGGAAACAAACTCAGAATTTTTTTTTTTTTGACATTTCAAAAATTAAATGTTTTGATTTTTCTGTGCAAAATGACTTTGTTTTTTTTTAAATTATATTTGAAAAAAAGGGGAAAATGATCAAAATTGAATTGATTTTGTCAAAACATCTACTTCAACCTGAAATTATTATTATATTTTAAACTTTTTGATTTGTTGACATTTCATTTTTGGTTTGACCTGAGACCAACGTTTTTCCTCCCAGATTTTTGGAATTGCCAGCAAACTGAAAAATTCATTATTTGTCTAGCTCGACTTAACATAAGTTGGT